CAATATAATTTCGGTTAAGCATTTTATCTGAAATAGTTTTATAGAAAATTAAAAAAATTTAGGAAAAAAAAAAGCACTATAGTAATACAATTAAACTATTTTGATTAAGAATTTTGACTTAAATAGTTTTGATAGAAAATTCAAGCTATTTTACATGATTTTAGAGTCAAAAGAATTTAATTTCAGACAATAATTTTGACCGAAATAGTTTTGATAGAAAATTCAAAATATTTCACTTGATTTGTGGAGTCAAAACATATAATTTCGGATAAAAGTTTTGACTAAAATAACTTTGGAAAAAAATTCAAGAATTGTCACTTAATTCTTGGAGGCAAAACAATATAATTTCGATTAAGCATTTTATCTGAAATAGTTTTATAGAAAATTAAAAAAATTTAGGAAAAAAAAAAGCACTATAGTAATACAATTAAAAGAAAAAAAAAAGGAGACAATTATTTAGGTCAAAATTTTTTACCAAAAAACATTACTAAATTAAAAAACATTACTTAATTAATTCGATCAAAATTTATTATTGAAATACTTACTATTTTATTACTAATATAATTCAAATAAAATATTTGACCAAATTAATGATGGCACTAATTGACACTCTTTTATTTTGATAAGTATGTTAGATTGAAATAATTTTAGACTAAATTATAATTACGCTAAATATCTTTTAATTAGATTAAAGTATATTTTAGTCAAAATGTTTGATAGAATTAAGTTTTTTTTTATCTAAATATTTATTTTCTGAAATATTATGTCTGAAATAAAGCTTTTTCTAGTAGTGCAACTTTAGAAGACAATGCTTTGAATAAAATGAATGATTAATTTCTTTCAAATTTTTTTAATTGTTTATATTAAAAGAAAATTGTTCAATTATTTAACACAATCTATTATAGCTAAATAAATTTTATGACTTGAAGACACATAAAGTATTATTTTAATTTTTGTATAAGAGGAAATATTTGCGAAATGTAATATATTGTTTTAACTTTTAAGTATTGATATAAAAAGAAATATTTGTGAAATGTAGTAATATATTATTTTTTAATTTATAAATTTCATCCTTAATTATAACATGAATTTTGCCTGTCATATATTAAGTACCCCTTCCCTGCATCCACAGCAACTGAGTTGCCATCGTTCATCAAGTGGGAGGCATTCCCCTCGATCATGAGTTTGAACCATAGATCCTATATATACGTGCTATAGATATAATTGCCCTTTCAAAAAAAAAAAAAAAATTCTAATCCTATGTATACTAAGCCATGTTTATGCTTTTACAATTATTTTTTAAAAACAATATCTCTATTAAGAAGCTAAAATCTTAGTATTTTTAAGTTGTGAGTCCCAACTTTACTAATATACAAGTTTTTTTTTTCTAAGTTATTTGCTTAAATTCTATAATTTGTACCGTAGTGGATTCATTTATGTTGTCTAATTTGTATTATATACATCCAGTTGTATCATGTAATTTGTGCTCTACATAAGAAGATCTCTTCTTCTTTTTTTTTTTTTATTGAAACAGGAATAATTTTAGAATTTGAGATGTGTTTATATTATCTTAAGATTGGTGGCTCACATTCAAAATAATTATAATTCAAAATTTGTTTTAAATTAATTGCATTCTTTTTATCTTGAAAAGATAAATATTTCTATTTAAATTTGTCTACAAATAATAGTTATTTTTTTATACTTTTAGAAAATAAATATTTTTTGTTTTAACTTTATAATTACTTAATTTTAATTATTATTTTTATTATAAAAATTTTTTAATTTTATTTTTTTCAAAAATAAAATGAATAAAAATAAAAATTATTTACATCTTTAATCTAAATTTAAAGATAACATCTATTTCTAAAGTCCCATTTAGTATAGCGGTTTTGGAGTAGTGGTTAGTGGTTAGTGGTTTTACCTAAACCGCTAAATATAGGTGTTTGATAAATTTATATATTTCAAAACCGTTACAATTAAAGTATTTGGTAAAATTTTTATTTAACGGTTTAAGACTAACGGATAGCTGGTAGGGTCTAAATCGTTAGCGGATTGAAAAAGTTAGTTTATGTAACTTTTTGTACCAAATCGCTAACGGATTAAAATTTTTTAATTTTATTGACAAATTTATCCATTTTAATTTTTTAGTTTGTGGTCACATTTTTTAATTAATAATTACCTAATAAATTTCAATTTTGTTTTTTTACCTTTAATAA